TCCAAGATTACTACTTTGAAGAAGCGAGGGATGGGAACTTCTACAGCCTCCCTGAGAAGATAAAACATAGACTGCTACTTCCTCCTTGATGTACCCACTACACATATCACACTGACACAGCACCTGTGACACATTTTTGTACTTATTTATCACTCTCTCTCTACCCAGGCTAGTCTGTGAACTCCTTGAAGGCAGTTATCACACATTATCCATCTTGGTATGATCAAGCATAGCACAGTACCTGGCACACAGAAGGTGCTTCCAAAAAGTTTGATGAATTGATAAATGAACACAGTGAAAACTATGAAACACAAGGAAAGAAGATATCATTGTAAATCAGAATAGTTCTACAAAGCAAGCGAGCTTTGGGCTAGAATCTTAAAGCACAGGTGGGATTTGGAAAGACACGGGGGAAAGGAAAGGTACTCTAGGCAGACAGGACAGCACAAAGACCTGGCAGTAATCAGAAACATGGTACACAGTATGTTAGAGCTTTAGTCATGACTTAGTCCAATAGTTCAAATCTCATAGGGATGCTGTAAACATTCAATAAAAAAGCACATACTACTAAGGAGAGGAGCTTATTACCACTACTCAAAAATAATAATCACTTTTATGCCAGGCACCATACTGAGTGAAGGGACTGCAACAATGAGCAAGATAGACTTGGACTCCGCTCTCATGTAGCTAAGAGTCTAGTGGGGAAGACAGACAGTTAAAATAATGCTTGGTAGAGCTGGGTTAGAGGAAGTACGGGGGGGCTGAAGGAACATAAAGTAGGGTCACCTAATCAGTTGGCAGTAAGAGAAAGCTCCCTGATTTTCAAAGTGTAGCTTGAGATACTCAAGGGGTTCTGAGTCCCTTCAAGGACCACAAGGCTTCAAAGTGAGATTTTGTTTTTTGAATAAAGGGTTTCATGACTAAAGGTTTAAAAAAACCAATCTAGTCCAATCTCCTCTTTTAACAAGAATAAAACAAGGCCCAGAGGAGGCAAATTACACACTAAAGGCAATAATAACTCAAGTTAGCTGTAGGGTGAGATACCTGCTTTGACCTTGAGCTGGAAACTACTCACTACTCTGCATGATATCACATCATTTTTGCAGATGAACAATTACTGGGAGTAGACACATCCGGAATTCACAGGCACTAGCCAGGCAGGCAGGCTGGCCCTGATTGGATGTAGAAGTGCTTTTTCACCTTAGGTCCCAAACCAGCTCTCTGTGCCAAGATGATGCCTCCAATTCTTCTCATGGTTAGCCAGTTCCCCCTTCAAGAAGGAACTCACTGGCTCCAGGAACAGGTCTGCTTCTGGGCCTCCAAGCTGGTACCAAGGCTTTATCCTCCCTAACATTCTCAAGCACCCTGTGGTTTAGCAAGTTGAAGAATTTAGCCAGTCATCATAGCGTTTAATACCTAGCCCTAGCCTGAGCTGGCTAGACCCATCTCTCATCTCCCTAATTGCCACTGGGCTCATCACTCCCCGTGACCAGGGGTTCAGC